TCCAGAATTATTCTCTTATTTTTTTTTTAAATAAGTATCATTCCCGTTTGATCTCCCCCTCCTCCCTCCTCCTCCTCCTCCCCCTTCTCTTTATATGGGACAAATTTATGAACCACAAAGGTGGTGTACGAATGGTTTGAGTTTGGACTCCAAAAGTCAAAAGTGTCTGGAGGTCTCCGATTCGAATCCAATGAGAAATAAAAATCCCCTTGTGACGGAGGTTCAAATGTGGTGACTTCACGGATGGTTGCTCTGGGATTAGTCAACTTGCATAACGAATTGGATATCCAGGTTAATCAAAAAAAATTATGAGATCTATGATATCCAATTTTAACCATAAAAAATTAGTTGAAAAATTAAATATATATAAATTAAAAATATTTTTCTCTCCTACCTCCTAATTTTTTTTTCTCTTCTCGTTCCTCTCTCCATAACACACACGTAAGCATAACTGAGCACATTTAAAAAAAATACTAATATAGTTTGTGAACACACTCTAAACCTACGAGATTTGGTATAGTTTGTGAACATATTATGAACATAAACTAAGTTAATAAACCTAAATCTAAACATACTACTTGTGAACACTCTAATAATTTTTTTATTTATTAAAGTTGTTTACATTGTGTTCACAACGTGTGCACCTTGTATGCACGGTGTGTTTGTTGATACGGAGATAAGAGAGAATAGATAAATATGGTATATGCTTCCTAAGACAATGCATCAATTTTTTCTTTAATAGATACAATTATTATCTCTTAACTGACTAATTAATAAATATAATTATCATAAATTAGTGGCTTAGGATGAATCTCACATATTTTGTAGTTCTCAAATGATTAAACACACACACACACACACACACACACACACATATATATATATATATATAAGAGAAATAGAGTTAAGATAATAAGCGTAAGAATGGATCTAAAACTTTAGATCACCTTTAATCTCAAACTCATCCATGAATTACCCTTGATACAGGGATTGATCCGATGCATCTAATATCGTTGCATCTCATCATAATATGTATCCAATGGTGGAGATCTATTCTTATGCTTCTCAACTTACATTTCCTTTTAACTTGAACCCTACCATATGTGTGTGTATATATATATGAACGAATCTATCTGGAAATAAATGTTGAAATTTTTATGATGCTCTATTCCACCACATACCTTTTATTCGAATAATTTACATACTCTATGTTACATCATCTCATTCATAATGTTTTTGTCTTGCACGAGGATAAATTAGTTGTTTGTTAAACATAGTCAAGTATATTGATTAAAAACAAAAATACTCCTAGTGGCTTTAACCTAGCGGGTAAAGAAATGAATATAGTTTAACAAACGTAAATTGTCAATATGGAATAAAAAGACAAGATAAGTAATAATTTGACGATGTTAGTGTTGATCATATGTATGATTTATGTTTGTTGGGCCACGTATTAATTTGCTGATGATCCACTGATCTATCCCACTATTCTATCAACACTCAGTAGTTATTGATTTTTTTTTGTATATTAGTTTCTTGGTACATATTAAAAGCCCTTGGTAAAATCGAAGGCTAACCGATGTGAAGACAAAAGGTTACTGATGCAGTCTCGTGGATCAACTGTCTAAATTACACACCAAGATTCTAAAGTAGCTTATATGAAGAGTGAAGATGTTTTGAAGCTACTAGTCGATTGAAGGAAGATCTTCATGCATCGAGATTTTTAAGTAGCTGTTTGAAGATACTAATTCATCCAAAGAAGATTTTCTTACAGACTGGTCATATCTCTGCAAGACTTGTAATTGATAAAGGCATTCCTTATCAGCAGGTTTGTCTCTACATGAAAAGTGTTGTATGCATGCAGAGTACGATGAAAATGATATATCTACAATGGTTAAGTCAACCCATGCCTCATTATCCTAAGGTGACAAGTGTCCCCATGCATTTAATGCATGAAGGTAGTATAAAAGGCAAAGTGCATCTCCCATGTAAACCACACTTCCCTGAAAGAATTTCTAATTGCATTCTCAAGGCAATCGACTTTCTTCTATTACTCTCCTACTCTTTTGTATGTGAATAAAACCTTAGTGTTCTTCATTTCATTGCAAGTACTTTATGTGTTATTATTGTAAGTTCTTCTTTGTGTAAGATTGTTTAGGTTAGGTTATCATTTCCTTCTTCCGCAACAATCTGTATGTTATCTCTGTGTGTTAATTCTTGATATACATCAATAAGAATTACAAAATTGAAAAGGGTATGTGTAATTGTATTTAACCTCCCCCCTTCTACAATTACTTTATGTTTATTGTCATCCCATTTGGGACCAACAAGTGGTATAAGAGTAGTTAGCTTAATCTCATAAGCTAGATTTGCAATGGTCTCTTCTTTACCAACCTCTTTCCTTTTTCGTACCATGACAATGACACCATTGTCAATCCTCCAAAGTTCAACAAGAACAATTTTTCTCTGTGGAAAAGTCGCATGACACTCTTCCTTGAGAGTGTTGACAGTCAATATCTCTTTATCCTTCAAGATAGACCTATTGTTCCAAAAGTCTAGATTTGTCATGGGAAGAACAAAAATTAAGGTGACTCTTGAAATGATTATGATGATGATGAATATAAATCTGATTCTACTTGAAGGGTCATCATTAAAAATCCTAAGCAATACAATAAAGATGACAAAAGAAAATTTTCTTTGGATACCAAGGTAAGGGCTATCATTGCCTTGTCTCTCCCTGATGATGTTTATCACTCATTGGTGAATCTCACTACTGCTAAGAACATGTGGAACACCCTCTGTGTTCTATATGAAGAAACCATTGAAGTAAAATAAAAAAAGAATCACTAATCGTAAATGTTACAATTGCGATGACACTTTTCATCTGGCTAAGAACTGTCTAAAGAAAAGATTCACTAAGCCAATAGGAAAGGTGAAAGAAGAAAAGTCTCCTAACCCTAGTGGATCCATCTGTATTGTATCTCTATGTGTTAATTCCGCAACAATCTGTATTGTATCTGTATGTGTTAATTTTTGATACACATCAATAATAATTAAAAATCTGAAAAAAGCTCGTGTAATTGTATTCAACCCCCATTTACAATTACCTTTTGTTTATTGTCATCTCATTCGCAACCACCGATGTTAAGAAGTTTGATAAAAGAAAATAGACAAAAACTGATATAATTTATATGACTATGCAAATATAAGTATATAATTAACAAAAATTTTTATCAAATTTTTTTATAAAAATACAATAATACTTTTGTCTCGCTTATTTAAGATCATTTCATGATTACTTCCATTTCAAGCGTAATCAAAACCAAAACGAAATTGAAGATTCCAACAAATAAACAGTTGGTCTATTTTTTTGGTCAAGACAAGTACATATATCTAACCACTTTATTACAATTAATGGTTACACGATTAAAATTAATGATAAAAAAATCTAATTTTCTTTGAGATATTTTTTTGAAAACAAATAAAGCTAATTTTATTTGAGATATTTAGAACCCGAAAAAATGCTCTAAAATCTCGTGATATTTATTTGAGATTTAGAAAGGGTGTCCTAACAAGAAAAAAGAGTAAATTACATTTTCGGTCCCTATAGTTTGCTAAAAGTTATGACTCTCATCCTTGTGGTCTTGTAACGGCAGTTTTCACCCTTATAGTTTACAGTTCGTTGTTATTTTCGTCCATAAGGTTATAACTCCTATCTGTAAGTAGAGGGACATAAACAACAAAGAATTATAAACTAAAGAGACAAAAACAATATATAGATTGTAAAGTGTAAGAACAGCAACAACAATAAATTGTAAACCATATGAATGAAAATCTTAGTTTTAAAAACACATGGATGAAAATAACAGTTTTCAACAAACCATAAGAACGAAAAACATAATTTACTAAAAATAATTAAATAAAACATTAATTTGTTAAAATTTTGCGTTTTGCAGTTGTTGTCGTATTCATCATGTAATTTGGTAATGCCTAGCTTCGGAATAGCTAACCTAATAAGTTTGATGTGAATTTTAACATGTAAACCTTGATTTTTGACCTAAATGAAAGATAAAATAATTGTTAACTGTAAATTATTATTATGACAATTGAATTGTTTGTTTTTTAGAAATTAATTTATTCAGTTATATTTTCATAATACATGAAAGTAATTTATTTATTCAATATAAAATTATGTTTTGTGAGTGAAAATGAAGAGCAGATAATATTTTTTTGAGAATAACTTTTAAAAATATTTATATAGCATCTAAACTATGAATAAGAAAAATGATAAAATACATTGCATTTTTGATATTTTTTTCATGCATAAATCCTGCTTTTTAACCAATTTGCTATTATTAAAGGATTACATTACGGAATTCATATTAGAAAGGATTTAATGTATGACAGTCAATTGTATTTAGATGTTGATAAAAATTCTTAGATTTTGGTCATTCGTCAAACAATCTATTGGTAATTAAGGGGATGTTTACCCAAATGCTTATCCGGTAAGCATTAACTAATAAGAGTCAACACTATAATTTATTTAGATGCTTAAATTTTAGTACATCAAAGCATATCGAATACACCAATTCACTAGGTAAGCGCTTACCTGGGTAAGAGTTAGCCATCCTCACTTATCGGGTAATAATACTCTTCATCCTTCTCATCACTCTTACCCGGTAAGATTTTTAACCCTTCACATGTTCATTCGATGAGAAAATTTATACGTTAAGCACTTAACAAGTAAGTGTTTAGTAAACGGCTCCTAAGTGAACCATTCATACAAAAATTAAATTTTACCATTAATTGAAAATCGAATTTTATACAACAATTTACCAGGTAAACGGTAGTTGGATAAGACTTGTCAAACTCAGGTAAGACTTTTAGTCACTGCAATCGTTCTCACTTATTAGGATTTTCGTATTTTATCATGTTATCTGGTAAGATCAATAACTGATAAGCACTTATCGAATAAACGTTCAATAAAACAGATCCTAAAATGATTTAAACCCATTCCTTAGATTCTATACTCTGAACGATAATTCAAACGAATTATGAACAAATTAGTAGAAATTAAGTTTGAGAAAATAGAATGAGAAGTACAAGTAGAATGATGGTAATGCCCAAGCAGAAGAGAAGAGGAAAAGAGAAACTAGAAAAGCACTGTCCTGTTTCTAAATTCTGATACCACATGTTTTTGGAGCCTGCATTCAAACTAAAGTCCCCACTCCGTAGCTACAACACAAGATCACAACCGTCTGCCGTCGTCGTTTACACTTCGTTTTGTTCCGTTATCACGGAGCAATTTAAGCATCACTTCAACCTTGTTTGAATTTATCACGGTAAATAATCACTTGAACAAGAGCTACTATCGTGTTGTCCACCTTTATGTTCCACCTCCGTCGATATTTGTCCGGAGGAAACCGTCGGGAACTCGCCGCACTTCCGGCATCTCGTCATCACTAGCATCTGTCTACACGACGGACACGAGGAATGCGAACTGAGCCACATATCAATACATCCGACGTGAAATCCATGTCCGCACGGCGGCAGAATACGGATCTCGTCTCCATCCGTGTACTCCGCCAGACAAATAGCACACTCGCTGGATGACAACTTCTCACAGTTTCCCCCATCTGATCCTTCTTCCTTTGACAAATCATAAACGAACTTCGGTAGCGCCTCAACGATCTTCTTTTTAATGCCTTTATTCGCAGTCGTCTGGCCAGGATTCCGTCGGTCTTCGGCGGTACTGGATCCCCGACGAAGCCAAGCGCAGCGAGCAACCGCGATAAGGCCTAGAACACAAATCAGAGCACAGAGGAGAGCGGCGAGAATGACAACGAAATCGGACTCAACGGCGACTGCCTCCGGCGGTTGTGCCACCGTCTGATCGAATGATGAAGATGAGTTAGCAATTGACGACAAGAATCTATAGGGACGAGTCATAATTCATCCAACTGTGTGTTGTAGGTGAAAGTGTGTGAGAGAGAAGAATGAGGTTGGGTTTTTAGAGAGAGAAAGGGTGTGGATAGATTTAGCATGAGAAAGAAGATGAGTAGAAGTGTGTTATATATATGTGTGTGGAGCTGCATATGGACCTTCGTAACTGACAAAGGGTTCTATCTGGTGCTTCTCAACTAGACTATGATCCATGTACCCTTTTCATTTGTAACTGAAATTAATTAAAATAGTTATTTTTATTTATTAATTTATATTTTACATATTTTTTCTCTGTCTTTTTTTGGTCATTTTACAGATATAAACAAAATTTGTCAAACACTAAAAAACAACTTATCAGCTTATTGCAGTTTGATACCGCTGTAAGCTAATCCAAACATTTTTTACAAAACTCCAGTTTGATACCACATAAGTTAATAAGCACTTTTACAAAAAAACATAAGTTGTTTTAAATAAGCAATCCCAAACACCCCCTTACATCATTAATTAAAAAAAAATTGCCGACGTAAGTGTAAAATATAATTTTTTACGTATCTAGATGAAAAATGTAATTTTTTTTGTAGACAGGGGTATAAAGTGTAACATTTTTACCTTTTAGCTGAGTTTGTAAATTGCAGACATAAATTTTACAAACGAATACCTATTTTAGTAAACTTGAAGCAAAAATGGCTAGGAGTTAAAACCAACCTTAAAAATAATTATTTTTAATAATTTCCATTTTTATATCGATATAAAAGTAAACTATTGTACACTATATACAGTATAAATTATAATGTTCTTTATTTATATTTATTTATTCATTATATGTGATCAAGAATTAATTTTAATATCTGTTGTCTCTTTAACACTTGAGTATTATTTATTTTACTTTTTACACTTTACTAAAAGCATTGATGTATTATGGTGATATAATATAATGTAACATGAATTTTGGGATGCATCAAGAAAAGTTAGAGACGAACTCTTACTATATTTAAATTAAAATAATAAAACTTTATAATTATAATTTTATTTTATTATATTATCTTAGTTATATTATATCAAATAATTTATTTATTTGTGGTCATAAATTTATATATCATTCTTTCAGAAATATATCATTTATTATATTTTAAAAGCAATTGTTTTTTTACTCATTTGTAAACCTTAGTTGTTCGAGTCCTTTAAGGAATATTGAAGATTTTCTTTATTGTTTTCAAATCCATAACAATTTTTGTATTGAACTCATAAATTTCTGTATTTTTGAGTTACATCCAGATCAGAAAAAAAAAAATTAATATAATTTTACCATTCATATAATAATCAAGCAATACACAAACTGATTTAAAAAGACATTATTTAACCACCCCACTAATATTGATACTTTTATATTATAATGATCCCCTTTTTATGAAATTTAAAGTTAGATTGCCTAATTACCCTTTATTCAAATAAAATTAAATGTCATGTCCCTTTATTTTGGGTGGCAATTAATATCTACTTTCTTTAAAAGTTCAAAGAAACCTATCTTATGATATTGCATTGGTATTTTTATCACGATTATATACATACATATAAACTAGAAATGTATCCATATAATACAATATGATATAACTCGATTCTAAATGTATAACTCAAACCCTTAATCTTGATTTATGATTTGTTTTATTTTTTGTTCTCTCGATTTAATTTATTGTTATGGCTTTGGGTGGTTCTAAGAAATATTGGTTATCATTTTTATAGAATATTATCTTATATTGGTAGGGCTTAAATCGAACAAACAAACAACAGCTAGTGGATGAAGATGGCAGCTAGAAGAAGAGTCATGAGTAGCTCTGTTTAACTTTTTTTATTTACAAAAGATGAGAAAGAGGATAATGATAAGAAACACGCCAAAGGATATTTGAAAAACAATGTGCTACTTCTAAATACCAACTAATCCCACACACTTTTCGGACCCCGCCACAACAGTGAACTTCCCCTTCTCTAGCTATACACAAACCTCCAAAGACCGTGCAAATGGTCCGCCGTGTCAGTTACTCTTCATTCCGTATCACGGACCACCAGATTCAGATAGATTATCAATAAATTATCATCGGATGGGGAATTGCCTTTGCGATTTTTTCCAAAATTTTAAATCATCAAGGTAAATAATCACTTGAACTAGAGCTATTACTCTGTTTCGCTTCTAATGGAACTTTTCCGACGGAAATCGTCGACAAGTCACCGCTCTTTTTGCACCTCGTGGTGATCAGGATCTGTCTACACGACGGACAGGAAGAGTGAGAACTGAGCCATGTATCAATGCATCCAATGTGAAATCCATGTCCGCATTGCGGTAGTACACGGATCTCATCTCCGTCAGCGTACTCCGCCAAACAGATCGCACAGTCACTCGAAGACAACTTTCCACAGTCGTCGCAGCTCTTACCTTCCTTGCTCGAATCATACGTAAACTTCGGAAGCACTTCAATGATCTTCTTCTTGATTCCTCTATTCGCAGATGGCTGGCCTGGAGTCCGGCTATCGCTAGCAACAGATCCACGACGGAACCATGCGCAGCGAGCTACAGCGATGAGACCTACAACACAAATCAAAGCACAGAGGAGAGCGGCGAGGATCACAACGAAATCTGCCTCGACAGCCACCGCCTCAGGCGGTTCCGCCACCCCCACCGCCTTATCGACAGCCGATAGAAATCTGTACGGGCTAGGCATTGTTCATTCAACACTGCAAATAGTGTGTGTGTGAAAGAGAAATAAAATCTCCAAGGGTTTAGAGAGTAGTGGATAGACCTTTATTCTTTGCTTGGGTAGAAGAAAAGTGAATTATATATTGAGTGTAGGGACTGGGGACCAGGGATGCACCTGCATCTGCACATGTGGGGTATATTAACAGACATGGGATTGATTCAGTGTTTGCCCTGCTACAGAACTTGCCACGTACCATCGTTTCTAAATTTTATTTTTAATTTTTTTTCGGTGGGTTTAATGGTTTTTTATGCCACCCACCGATTGCCCAACTTTACACGATATCATCGTAATATTTACGTCATATATTTCATTTTTGTTACATGTTATTTGAATAACATCTAAATTATAAATATAAGTCTCACATAAAAGTTTAAAATTAAAAAAAAAAAAATTAATATTAAAAAAAAGTTTATCGTATTAAACTTAATTGATGTTAGTTTATCTTCCAACATGACAAAAGCACAAATTGTCTAATACTAAAGTTGGACAGATATCTTATAAGAAAATATTAATGTGTTAATTTATATGTGGTTGCATCAATTTAGCTAGGCTTATTTTTTGTTGTCTCTAAACAGGCTAATTTTCGAAGCTCTCCAAACAGCATGTGCGGTCAATTCTTTCTTCAAAATCATTTGTAGCAGTAGCTTTCAAATAGTCTTGTATTCGGTGTCGTTAGAGGATTTTGGATGACGGGTTCTGTCAATGTAAATAATTCATAACTACATATGTGAATTGTGATGGGCTAGACACTATAAGATAAAAAGAATGGGCCTAGCTAATTAACACAACTACATATAAAATATATAGATTAATAGAAAATAGTAAAACAAGACTGGTCGATGGAAATTCAAGATTATAACGTGAATAAATCATGTTATTGTTATCTTTTGACCATTTTGAAAACTATATATAACATTTCTCAATAGTAATATTTTTGCTCTAGGGCGGTTAGAAGGATGAGTGCCATGCTGCATTCTTTCCTTTCGGTTTGGAACGCTCAAAATATCAGTTGTTTGTAAGTCAAGTAACGTTACCGTTTTTCTAATTTCAATCGTGGTGCTACAATTTTTTGTTATGATTACCATCATGTGTTCGATTTTGCTGCAAAATTTCAAACCAAGCCTTCATTTTGTGTTCATATAAGATAACGATTATAACTTGTTTCATGTTCTGAACAATACTTGGAATTAATTTTGTTGACTAAGGGGCCGTTTACCAAACTCTTACTGAGTAAGCATTTTTCGAGAGTCACTTACCTTATCGGGTGAAATGGAAGGACCAAAAATCTTACCCGTTAAGTGAGGGAGAAGACTTACCCAGTAAGAGCTTACCGATTAGAAGATGCTCACCGACAATATATTTTGATAACCAGAAATGTTACCCACTAATTATGGTAAGCAGGGTGATGACTCATAGCAGTAAGTATTTATTCAGTAACAACTTGATATACAACTCTAAGTTCATAAACACGATAGCTCTTTAGAAACACGTAGAAAAGTTGGGAGTTGAGAGAGAATTCGGCCCCCCAGAATGAGATTGCGTTTTTTTAGAACTTCAGGTAACAACAGTCGGTAAACTCCAATATGCTATTTTTTTTTGTTTTAACGACTTAATTGACGAGCGTTGATTACGAAGGAACTGATTCGAAAAATAATAATTATTATATTACTTTCTATTTTAATTTATAATTAACTTTTAAATATAATATATATTACAAACTTTTATTTTTTTCATTACTTATCTGGAATAAATTAATTGGAACAATTATTTGAATTTGAGGGTAAAACTTTTTGACAGTTAACTGACGCAACAAAAAGAAGATAAAAAACGAATTCCGTTGCCGGGACTTGAACCCGGGTCTCTCGGGTGAGAGCCGAGTATCCTAACCAACTAGACTACAACGGATGATGTTACTTTATTTAGATATATAATTTATATTAAAAATAAAGTTTGGCTTATCTGTTTAAAAAAAATGTGATTGTAACATTTAATGCTTTCTTAATATTGTTTATGGACTTTTCGAACTTATGCTTTGTTTTTAAGTCATTATACAAAACATGAAACTAAATCAATTGTGATTTTGTTTGATAGGTTCTATATTCAAAAAACTTAGAACTGATTAACAATGATTTACATAAAAAAAATTGATTAACCTGGATATCCAACTTGCTATGTGAGTCGACTAATCTCAGGACGACCATCTGCTTTGGAGATAGCCTGGAGTCACCGCATTTGAACCTTCGTGGATTTTTATTTCTATTTGGATTTGAACCTGCGACCTCCTGGTACTTTTGACCTTTGTAGCCAAGTTCAAACCAATCAGGCACCACCATTGTGGTTAATGATTTACATAGTTTGTGATCAATGGATCTAAATTGTAAGTTTAATTTTGAAAAACAATAAGAAAAATAAAATAAAATAGAAGGTTTTATAGTGTGAATTGAGGATGAAAAATTAATGTAAATTTTTATTAAAAAAATCAATAATTTAACACTTATTTTGATGGTTTTGTTTGAAAACTTGTGTTTGGTATGCAATAAGGTCACTTTTTGTAAAGTTACATTAAATAATGTTTTAATATAATGTAGGGGTTTTTTTTTCTAAAAAAGTTCAATTATGTTCCTTGAATTGAGGGTTGTTTTTTTAAATCAAATTTGAGTAGATAACTATTAATTTAATAATTAACTTGCTACCTATCGAACCTAAAATTCACTTTCAATTGCTCTTTGTAGTTGACGGGTAAGGTTTCCTACCCACTGGTTACTGTCTACTGATTAAAGTGGTACAATATAGCTACTGCAGCTAAAGTTGGGTAGCTAGACTATCTACCCTATGTTTTTTGGCACTCGGTTCCTTATCTTAAGTCAAGTTCAGTTGAGTTTTTTGATTCGGAACTCTTAGTCGAGCTGATGACGGGATCTTTTTTTTGTTCGAGGTTCAAGAGGAAGAAGAGAAGAGGAACCACCGCCCAATGGTGCTTTTACGAAAGTTCTCTAAGATATAAAAACCAGAAGTTTATTGTTTTTTTGAAATAAAATATGTATATATATATGTGTGTGTGTGTGTGTATATATATATATATAAAAACTCCAAGTTTAAAATATCATATAATTATAAGGTCTCAAAAATAGAGAATATGTTAGTGATGAATATAATTCTTGTAATAATTGACTTTTATTTCTATATTTTAAAAAAATAAAAAATAAATCTATTAAAGATATCTTAAGCCAACAACTAACTTTTATGCCGACTGTTGTCTTACAATTATTGCAAACTTATAAGTTTTTATTAAAAGATAAACGTGTATAGAATATGGATGTCAATTGAGGTTAGCTTTTTTAAACATGAAATTTTAATATATTTTGTACATATAATAATTTTATAAACTTGAAGTTTTAATACTTTCGTTTTTAGAGCATCTCCAATTTTACTCCTACATTTAAACTCATCTGGTGAGTGAAATGCATGGAATTTGATATAAAAAGCAAAATATTATACTGTTACTCCAATCATACTCCCTACATTATCAAATATAAATTATTTCAATAGTAAAGTACCAGTAGGTCTCAGGTTCAAATCCAAGGAGAAATAAAAATCCTCTTGTGGCCACGGAGATTTAAATGCGGTGACTCCGGGCTATCTGCAAAACAAGTGGTCGTTCTGAGATTAGTCGGCTCACATAACGGGTTGGATATCCAGGTTAATAAAAAAAAAAAGTAAATGACATGGAAGTGCATATGTATATTAAAAAAATAATGTAGATTATTTGTAGTGAGGTTTTTACAATGAAATAATAAATATTAATGTATTGAGCCAATGTAAGGAATCCATTAAAATAAAATAAAACTCATTCGGTTCCCTATAATTGTCCCGCTCTATTACTTTGAGTGAACTACTAGATAGTTCGGACTCCCTTACGACGTCATGTTTGGAAGGCGTTTTTGTGGACAGCTCTGTATGCAATTTGGAACGATTTCTTTCAAATGGCCCGTTTGAGGCTGTGGATCGTTTTTTTTTGCTCTTCAACACCTCTTGATTTTTTGGATTTCCAAGCAGACCGTAGGTTTCTCTCTATCATGGATGGAGTGGTGCGGGGGATTTGACTCTGTTAAATAGTTTGGATTTATTCGTTTCGTTTTGTTTGCCTCCTAGCTTCGGTTTCTTTTTTATTGTTTTTTGGGTGTTTTCTAGTTTTTGCAGAAAGTTAACCTCCTTTTTTTTTATTAACCTGGATATTCAAACCGTTTTGCGAGCCGACTAATCACAGTGCGGCCATTTGCTTTGCAGATAGTCCGTACCGTAGTCACCGTATTTGAACCTCCGTGGCCACAAGAGGATTTTTATTTCTCCTTGGATTTGAAACTGAGACCTTCAGTTACTTTTGACCTTTAGAGTCAAGCTCAAACCAATTAGGCATCACTCTTGTGGTTAGTTAACCTCCTTTTATATCTTGTTTTTTTTTTGTGTTTGGTCAATATAACTTAAAAAAAATATATAATTAACGATAAAAAAACCCATTGAAGAATAATAAGCTGGTTTTAAGAATTTCAATTAATATTCCTTTTGGTGGGTCCTACTCCTACCTCATGCAACTTGAGCCACACTTCTCCACGGTTATGGCGAAGTTGTTAACGGTAGAAGCCATTATCTCGTATGCCTCGTCATTCCTTGTAAAATATAATAATTATTTATATGTTTGTTAAATGTTCAACATGGCCTTTTATTTATAATATTTACTTTTTTTTAAGTCATGTTAAATAAGTACTCAATCTCTACTTCATAAATTTTCTTTTGATTGGTAGAATTGGATATGATTTGAAATTCGATCTCATATTTGGTTGAATGGTTGTCTATTTTTGAAATCTTAAGGGGTGTTTGGTTCATAGAATGGAATTTGATAGAATTGGAATCTATCAAAGGAATTTGAATTTAAAGGAATTAGAATGGAATTTGACCACGCGTTTGGTTGGTAGGAATTGAAATGAAATCTAAATAGAATTGAAACAATCGTCTTTGTTTAGACTATCTCACCCATCGCCCCGTCCACACCGTACCA